TCAATATTTTGATTATTATTATATAAAATAATTAAAAGAATAAGGTAAATAGAAAAGTAAAATGCATGGTTATACCACTTTCCTTTTAATCTATAATTAGTTAGGTATGAATCAAATGTAAAGTCTAATGTTATTGATGCTAATTTTAAGAAGATCACAAAATGTAAATTAAAATAATTACAATATAAATTTCTACTTTGAGAATGAACAATATAATTAAACTCAAAATTGAGAATACTCTTATACATTTTTGAACTCTTTTGGATAAATTTTGTTTTCCTCATTTTTGATAAAGTTAATTTTAATATTTAAAAGTATTTAACATTTTGAATTCGAAAGGTTTTCTCTAATAGCAAATTTAAAAACATAATATTCAAAAAAATATTTTAAGATTCAGTCTCGGGTTGTATTTCGCTCGAGCGATTATACTCTCGCTCGAGCGAAATACCATCCTGATCGATCATAATTTGATATGATCGATCATAATTGGAGGATATAATAGCGGTTCCTCTGTAACCGCTATCTAAAATATATATTAGATAGCGGTTATGGTTTAACCGCTATTACAAGTTGTTTTTAAGAGCGGTTCTGGGGGAACCGCTATCATATACAACAAGTTTTTTGATTGTTCGATCATATCTGAAAATATATAATAGCGGTTAAGATTTAACCGCTATTAGAAGTGCTATATAATAGCGGTTAAGTTTTAACCGCTATTAGAAGTGCTATTATAATAGCGGTTAAGTTTTAACCGCTATTAGAAGTGCTATTATAATAGCGGTTAAGATTTAACTGCTATCATATACAACCATCGCGAGGAGGCGTGGATGCACTGTGTGTTCACATGCAGGAGATGGAAAAGGGTAAATAAGTCATTTATTATTTGATGATGTGTCTTTCTCTGCTATCCTCTCAAATCCTCTTTGTTTAAGAGGGTGAACTTTCCTCCCCTCTCCCTCAAATTCGCGCCTGCATATCCTCTCATATCAGTTGCAACAAACGAATAACATCCCGTTTTTCTATCCTTTGAACAGTAAATTTCTTGCAACAAACACACGATTAGTGAAATCTACTACGTGCGGTGAAGGTTTGTCGCGCCTGTGAAACAGAGGAATGTAGCCCTAGTAGTGGTTATGGACATGAGGTCATCACGCCATCCCATTGTGATGTGGTGGCATTTGGCTCACCTGTCATGAGCATAAAATCGCGTGTGGCTAAATATTATTTATGTGGATGAAATGTTAAATGGCACATAGTCTCTAAAGCTCTTTTTTTTTTTTTTCGTTTATTTGCTCAAACCCTTGAACAGTATCGTTTGCCCCTGCAACTTTCTCCTATTCGTTGCCCCTGCTTGAATCAATTAAAATGGACACGTCACATTCTTCAAAGAGAAATTGTTGATGAATTTGAATTAGTGAAGTTATTATTCAGGTTTGAATAATTTTATGGTGGAATTGAAATTTAAAATTAAGTCTATCAAGTGTAACTTAAATCGGAAAGGGAAAGAAAAAAAACTTGTAATCACGTATGCATATTGTAATCATTGAATTAAATGAAAATGGCATATTGTAATGATTGAATTAAATGAAAATGGGATATGAAAGTGTAATTATAAAAAAATTAGTCTTTACAAAATAAATAATTAATAAGTACTTAAACATAATATTATATTTAAATATTATATGATCATATTAAAATATTATACATTAATATTTATTAATTGAATAATTATATTTATTGATAAAATAATAAATTTACTAATATTTTATATTAAAAATATTTATTATTTTGGATTAAAATTAACAATAGATTTTTCCATCTATAATGAATATAACAATTATACCTTAATTATTCACATAATTTTTCGTCAGTAATATAAAATTATCGGTAAAATAATATTCATCCATAAATATTCATCAATAATATAAATTTATTGACGGAATACTATTAGTCAATAATTATCTACCATAATATATATATTTATTGAAGGAATAATATCCGTGCAGAATTAAAGGTTTTTTTTAAAGTATTATCACGTAATTTATAAGAGAATTTTTTTCATATCTAAAAATTATGATTTATGAAAATCATGAATTTTCATGATCTTACATATGACTAAATCTTAATCGGTTGATAAAAGATAAAGATAAAAATATTTATACAAATATTTGTTTAAGGATTAAGATTTTATTATTTTATGTTTAAACGAAGAATTGGTAGATGAAAATTGATTTTAACGTGAAAATGTGAATTATTTCATAATTAAATAGGTTATTTAGATAAGAAATTAAAAAAAATTAATAAAAGAAATTGATTACTTAAAATTAAAAAATTTCAAATTTTATTTAAAAAATATATATATTTTTAAATAATGTATCTTCTCTTTATATTTTTTTTTCTTTGGTTTAGTTACATTTATCTTGTCTAGATTTGATTCAATCTAGGTTTATTTTTTCTTAAACGGGTTAACAAGACTTACCTGACCTAACTTCCATATTTTTAAATTGTTTGACTTAGATAAGCATAATCTAACTTGATCAAGTTGGTCCATCCCAATCCAACTTGAGCACACCTAACCCGGTTCAATATGTTCTAACTACATTCATCCCAAAATTACCATTTTCAATCCAACCTAACCTATACAATCTCATCCTGGCATAGTTTGGTTAGTCACAATCTGACATGACCCAGTTTGGCATAGTTTGGTTAGTCACAATCTGACATGACCCAGTTTCATTCATGATTTATCTTGACCTAATCAAACTCTTAATTGATTAGGTCAACCCAACTATCCCAATTAGGTTTTATCCATCGACCATCCTATCTCATCTCATTCCACCCTATCTCAAATTGTATTGTCTTGACTCAACACAACTCATCCTTATCTGATCTCTCTCGACCTAATACGTCTTATCTTAACCTAATCCAACTTATCTTATCTCAACCTAGCCCATTTTATCTTATTTTAATTTGTTATGACCTATCTCGACTTGACTAACTCATCATGGTTTGACATCATCAGCTAGTCCCAACTTACTTCAATTCAACCTAACCTAAATCACCTTAACCCATCTTGATAATACCAAACTTAATCTAACATGCACTACTACAAAATATGTTTTCCACGTCGCCATTTAACGTTGGTTAAAGCTGAACCGACGTTGAATACACTTTGGTTTTTAGTCAACCGACATAGAAAGTACTTTCCACATCGGTTAAAGTGTTTTCACCCAAAAATTCACTTGAGTTAGAAAATTGTCACTGACAAGATTCAAACCCAGTATTTTATAGTTAAAAGCTGATACTTCAACCACTAAACTACTATAATTCTCTGATAATAACTTACAAATAAATTATATTTATATACAAATAAATATATATCCGTGTAAATATATATTTATTTGTATATATTTTCTGGAAAGTGTATATTTTTTTTCAGCCAAAAATTCACTTAAGTTAGAAAATTGTCACTGACAGGATTCGAACCTAGTATTTTAAAGTTGAAAGTCGATACTCCAATCACTAAACTATTATAATTTTCTAATAATAATTTACAAATAAATTATATTTATATACAAATAAATTATATTTATATACAAATAAATATATATCCGTGTAAATATATAAATACAAATATATTTATATATTTTGATATATTTATATATATATATATATATATTTATATGTTGGATGTGAGGGTGCGCTCGAGGATGAAAGTGAGATTGACTATCGCTTGAGTGAAAATACGTTAAAGCTCACAGAAATTAAAAATTGATATTTTTCGCTTGAGCGAACGACACGTTTTCCAAATTTATTTTATATCATTATATAAATAAATTATAAAGATTATATTCTGTCATTAAATTACAAACCCATATAAAGAGACCCGCTCATAAATTTGGCATCAAATTTTGAAAACTCACTCGACACACACTCTCACATTCGAAAGTGTCCTCACATCCAACGTATAAATATTTAAATATATAATTATATAAATATATAAATATATTTGTATTTGTATCTTTATATATTTACACGGATATATATTTATTTGTATATAAATATAATTTATTTGTAAGTTATTATCAGAAAATTCTAGTAGTTTAGTGGTTGGAATATTAACCTCAAACTCTAAGATACTGAGCTCGAATTCGTCAGTAATAATTCTCTTCAAAAATTAAATTGGTAATGCTTAAAAATATAATATAAAAGAGAGGGAGCTTAGAATGGAGGCTTCTAGATAAATAAAGGGGGTTATTAATAAAATTAATCTAAAAAATTAGACTTTCAATTTTGGCCTAAGATTACTTTCCCAACCCAACTAATTAAAAAATATAATATTAATAATTTTGTATTTAATAATAATTAAAATATGACATATATATATATATATATATATATATAATAAATTTAAAATCCCTTTCCAAACAAATAATTTATAAAAAGATTTCTTGGAATCATTTATAGTGTAATTGAAATTTTTGGAAATTATAAAGTTTCCGGTACAAAATTCTTGAAAGCAATATATTTTGTGACATATATCTAATTCACCACGTGAATGGATAATATTTAGAAAGACTTTTCCTTATCATATTATATTATGGAATAATATAGTGATGTAATTGGTATTAGGGAAGCTACAATTTGTTTTATTTTATTAATTTTTAAAATAGGTTAGAAATTAATTTTAAAAGAACTATTTAATAACTCTAATTTTAAAATTATTTTATACCAAAAAGAACGAAAATAAAAAAAATCATAATAAAAGTTAAAAATAGTACGTACAATTATTAAGGAAGACATAATACTATTAATAAAAAATAAAAACTAAAAAAATACATTTTTATCACATCTTTTATTTTATTAAAACAAAAATGAAAACAATTACTATAACTGTATGATATGTTGATTTTACATATATAAAGTTAATCATATAAATTTATCAATATAATTGCTTTTCTTTTCAACAAAGAGAAGAATATCTTTTATTGAGATAAACTATGCCTAGAGCAATCCGATTGACCTGTATAATACTAACAAATTATCGCACTATAAACCGTGGTAAAAAAAATAAACTACAATATATGAACGAGCAAAATTACAATGAAACCCAATAAATCAACAAAAGGGTCAATCATATTTACAAAATTTATTGAAAAGAGAGAGACACACAAAGATGAAATAGGAACATGTGTAATGATATGTAATTTTTTTTCAATTGAGAAAGATGTATGTAATTTAGTTAAATTAGTATTACATATTGCTTTTTATAATTCCGAATAAGAGGAGTTTTTTTCTTTATTTTCTATAAAAAGAAAAAAAAGATCAACTTTTTATTTTCTGCTTCTAAAACAAATCTTTCATGATTTTTTTATGTAGTTGATATTATATAATTTTGATAAAATAAAATTGTCACTGTTTAACTTATTATATAACCCGTGGTAACAAGTAGTCAGCAATGCTTTTTAGAACTGTATATATAATTTGAGTAAAAAAATATATAAAATTATAATAAGATATAAAAAAAAATCAAAAACAAACTTGAATTTGTTACAATATTTACAGAGGATTTCCTCTAACTACTAGTAATTACATTATGATACACCCTGCAGTTTCCGAAAAAACAACAAGAAAGGTATAACATGAATCAGAAAAATATATTTTACTCTGTACAAATACTTGTTCAATCACATACCATCAAAAGAATACCCCATGAAGGAAGGGCACTAAGAGGAAGAAAGGTACAACATGAACAGGAAAAGAAGATGCAACAGCTGAGGAATAATAATAGTAATAGGGATAGTTATTAGGGCCAGAAATTACTGTAGGCTGTCCTGAACCTGAAGAAGGAGGGTTGTTGGACTTCAAAGGTGGTGGAGGAGGGGGAGAAGCCAGTGATGGAGGGATTTGTGGAGGAGGTTGTAAAGACTTTGGTGGTGGTGGTGGTGGTAGTAATAGTGATGATGGTGGAGGGAATGTTGGTAGTGGAGAAGGGGGTGGATCATTTGCTATTGAGAGTGGAGGGGGTGGTGGATATGCCGTTAGAAGAGGAGGGGTTGGTGGATTTGATGTTAAGAGTGGAGGAGGGGAGGGGTATGATGTGAGGAGTGGTGGAGGAGGTGGATATGATGATGGAGTGAGGTGTTGTTGTGGAGGAGGGGGAAGAAGGTTTGGTGGTTGTGGTGTTAGAGGTGTTAGAGGTGAAGGAGGAGGATGGTTTGAATATGATATGACAAGTGAAGGAGGGGGTTGTGAACATATGGTAGGACATGAGGCACATTCACTGATGCACAATGAACCACTTAAAGGGTCTTCAATTTTTTCCTCTGATGTCACCATGCATGCACACAAAGCCAGCACCATGAATCCAACTTTTGTGATCCATGGAAACAAACCTTTTTGTGTGAATCCCTGATTCTTGCTGTGATCTCCCATTTGAGGTGAAGTGCATTGAGCTTGGAGAAGCATGTGCATGGTGATGTGCCAGAAAGTTGGGTTTGGCAGAGTTTATTATATAGATAGAAATGATGGGAGAATAGGTGATGTTTGGCAATTGGAAGTTTGAGTTATATTCTTTGATGCTTCCTTAAGAACGGGGTGTGGTGCGTGGTGGAAAAGTATTAATTCTCCTACTTTTTAGTGTTCCAAAATGTTGTTTATCAAATTTATATAAGAATATAATATTAATAAATAAAATTTATAGTTGACCCACATTTAAATCTATACATTAATGTAATGTTTATCAATTTATAGGTAATGAATGGTTAGTGATAAAATATTTTAATATACTATGAGTAAAATTATTTAATATTAATTTAAATTCTACAAAGTAGAAAAATGAAAGAATAATAATTTTTAATATAATATATAATTTTATTATTTTATAATTAGTAATTATTAAAAATATAAAACATATTTTATTATTTTTGTCTTCAGAAATTAAATCTCTATTTATAATATATTATAAAATAAATAACTTAACAATCAATCAAAATTATAATGTCAAAATGAATGAAGATATTAGCTTAAAAGTATCATTATATTAAAAAAAAAATACAATTTTAAAATTTATTTCGAATATTATACTGGTCTATTTTATTTTATGTTTCCTTTATTTAATTCATTTCTAAAAATATACTTAGTCCTTTTATATTCAAGTTATTTAATTTACTTCAAATAATATACTTTTTTCTTCTCTTTTATGTTCATGTGATTTAAATGTACTTTCAATGATATATTAATCCTTTATTTTATTTTATTTTATGCTTCTATTATTTGATTTATTTTTAATAATATATGGTTCTTTTTATATTATGTTTACATTGTTTAAAACATTTCCAATAACATACTACTCTTTTTTTATTGATTAATCTGTTCATATTTTTATTATTTAATTTACTTTTAGTAATATATTGGTGTATTTAAAGTTCTTGTTTTAATTATCATTTTATTTTATAACACATGAAACTATGTTATCATTAAATTTCTCTATATAAGATCTTTCCAAAATTTAATAAAATAAAATATAAAAATATTCACTTCCATTTTTTGACTAAAAAATTAAATATCATTTTTACATATATTAAGTGTTACAATTTTAATTTCACGAGGAAAAAAAGAAAGAGAGAGAAAAAGGCTTTGAAGGAGGATGACAAAAGTGAGATTCAAAAAGCTTGATAAAACGATTAGAAAAATATTTTTAGAATATTCTAATTAAAACTCTATTAGAAAAATATTCTTCTAGAATTCTTTAGAAACTTATAACATATTCTATAATTAGATGGTTAAGAATCATAAACTAAATTCAAATAGTAGTAGCTAGAACTACCTTGTTATTAAATGAGCCAAGGGAAGGGAGTTGCAACTTCATTCACATTCTTTGGATCCAATTCTTGGCCAAACCTAGGTACATGATCTTGGATAATTTATTTTGATACACTTTTTACATCTTGGGAAGTTTCTTGAACATGTCTTCTTATCTTATAAGTAGAAGACTACTTCATTGTATTTTTCACGTTTTAGATTTATGAAATAAGCATAATTTTGTGAGATTGACTTTCTTGAACATTTATAGTTAGATTTTTATCTTAAGGGAGATTTTTCAAGTAGTCAATCACCACTCCAATTATCTTTCTACATGTTCTTCCATCTTTTCATTTAATTAAGATAGCATGATAATGTAATAAAGAGTTCCATGCATCAACCATTTCTGATGTTATCATTTCCTTCAATTTTGGATATTGTAAATGTAATTATGCACTTCATTTCCATACCTTTAAACGCAATCCATCTTTTCTTGGTTCAGTTCTGGTTTCAAAGTATCACTTCATATACATGCTGATCAGTTTATACTTTACTTTGCAAGCTAAGATTCTGAGTCACCTCCTCACTATGGCTACATACACCACATGAATGAAATATAACTTGCAGTGAATATCTATGACAGATTGTGACTATTGTTCTCACTACAAGCAGCAAAGCATTCCAGTTTTTCAGAATAACAAAATATTCTCTAACTTTTGTGTCTCATTGACATTACCTAGGTTCTATTCAAGTAACTTCTCCAAAAACACTTTAAAGCAAGAAAAAAAAAACTTTTTCAGAAACTAAATCGTTATTTATTTATTTTTCTCTAATAATTACGTATGATTATACTCTTAATATCAATTTTGTGAGACTATGATAGCTACTTAATATAGAATGTGAAAAGTTAACTGCCCATAAATATAAAAGTTAATAGTTTATGCATTGACATTGTAAGATGTTTTTACACTATCGTTGAAGGTAAGTTTGTAAATTTTACAGTAACTACCATAAAATTCTTATTCACAATACTTGAATATCTGAAATTTTTTACAAAGATAATGCAAAGATGTTGTTTTCAACTTATGTTATTTTCAACTTATGTTATGATCTATTGCATGGCAAATTGTACTTTCCAATCTTGGACTGCCAGGCATCATCTAATTGGATTAAGGAACTCTTCCATTGCAAGAAAACTACTGCAAACTTGCATTCACAACACAACAATGCGTGGTGCGAAGAAGTTGTTGGAGTAAATGTTCTACCCAAAACTACATAGCAGGTGAGCCAGCCAACATGGAACCTAGATATTATGAATATGATCGTGGACTTTTTGTAGGCGTGGAAGGGCGTTGAGGGTGGCTACAAATCTGCTTGTTCTGTGATACTAAACCGAAGTCCCTCAAACGGTTAAGCGTTGGCACTATTTCATTTGCAAGATCAGGCCTGTCCTTTTTGCTGAGCTCTGCACAACTCAATGCGAGATTGGCAAATACAAGAGCCTCTTCAAGTGGCCAATCAGTGATCACAGGATCAAGCATTTCTGGAAATTTTCCCTCTTCAATGGCCCTCTTAACATGGTGAGCAAGCCCCATTGGAGGCTTGGCTGTAATGACTTGTAGCAGCATTATCCCCAAGGAATATATGTCTGATTTTGTTGTTAGCATCCCAGATTGTTGGTACTCAGGGTCAATGTAACAAAAGGTTCCAGCAGCAGCAGTCAAGTGATATTGTGTGACAGAATCAGCCACAGAAGCTGGTACTAGTCTTGCAAGACCAACATCACTAATTTTGCTCACAAAGTTCCTGTCCAAGAGAATGTTAGCAGGTTTGAGGTCCCTGTGCACAATTGGTTCTGGCTTTGTTTGGTGAAGGAAAAGGAGTGCAGTTGCAATCTCAGCAGCTATTTCAAAACGTTTCCACCATGGAATTGGAGGGGTATCATTTCTCATCAATAATCTATCTTCCAAGCTCCCATTCTCCATGTACTCATACACTAAACATCCGTACTCAGGACATGCACCAATGAGGAGAACCATGTTTGGATGCCTTATGCTGCATAATACCTCAACCTACACGTGTGAAGGAAAATATATTTTTTAAACTTGCATAAACATGAGTTTACTTTTGGTACACCATTAATGCAAAGATTTTTATACTTTTGATGAATTAAAAATGATCTCAGTTGTGACATTTAAAGTAATCATCACAAAAGACAACAATCTTACTATACATTGTAATACTTTATTTAATGAAATCGTAAAAAGAGTACATTACTTACGTACTGATATTGTGAAGAGATCTTACACTGTCATGAAATTATAGACAGCTATGCGTGGTAAGTTTATTTACTATTACAATAATTACCATGATTTCTGATAGGTTAACACTGTAAAAAATTTATACACAGTTCATATAGATCAAACTCTTGAAAAAAGAAAAAACACCCGATTTACAATCTAATTAAATTCTAAACACATTATTGCTGAAGTCAGAAGTTCCTAACAAAAACTATGAAAGACAATCAGTGTTTTGAGAAAGAAAAGTCAGTTATTTTGAAACATTTACTCTTCTAAGGAGAACCAATTGGAATTCGACATGTAAAGCACGATTGTTAGAATATGCAAAATAAAATGTTAGCTTCATAGAGTATGGTAGATTCCAAAACATTTTTAGCTGAGAAACCAGGAAAAACTGGTATGATGTAAATGAACAGTACGCATATGTAATACCTCTTGCTGGAACTGCCTCCTGCCATGGGTAGCTTCAGGGTTCAAAATTTTGATTGCTACTTGGGTGTGATCCAGTTGGCCTTTAAACACAGGTCCATATCCACCTTCACCTACTTTCAATGACGGGGAGAACTTTTGAGTGACCTCTTCAATATCGCTTATAGTGTATTTTCTGCATCGAACATCCTTGCATGCCAACTGATTCAATGCTCGATCCTTTTCTTGTGCCTCTCTTCTAGCCTTCATCTCTGCTTGAAATCTTCTCTGTGCTTCCTTTTCGACCATCTTAATGGCTTCCTCAGCTGCTTCCAAGGCAGCTTTGGCTTTAAATTTCTCCTTTTCTGCCATTGCAAGAGCTGCCTCTTTAGACAACTTAGCCACTTCAGCTATACGTTCTTCCTCCAGTTTCCATTGGTTAATTTCTTTAGCCTGCCAAGTGCCAATATAGATATGACGTAACACCTTTTGAGTAATTTCAGTAATTTCATCTATAACACTTCATTGATTTCATCAAAGTGTAACATTCAAGTTCATTAGTTAGTACCCTTGTTTTATTATTCATATCAATTAGTACCTTACCACTTTATTATAGTGACGGAGTAGTAGCTGTGGTCTCTTTGCACCACAATATGTAAATAATTTTTAAGGGTATTTTTTTTTTCTATGCATGACGTGGTGAATGAAGGGATAAGTAGAGGTTTTTCTTACTACTTACAGTGACCACATAATTCACATCACCTTGTTTTGGGCTGTTACCACGTCTTTGCAAACCGAGCTGTACATGTCCATAGTTTGCTTCAGTTTGAGCCTCAACTTTTTCATCTCAGCTTCCATATCTGCCTGGAATGAAGTAAAATAGTAAGTTTTTTACCCCTTAATTTTAGCGTATAGATTTGGCCACATACTAGTTATAGTTCTACAACAGAGACAATCCAATTCATGATAAGCTTTTGTTTTCTTGGACACATACTGTGAATTGAGAATCTGATGGAGAATCTGAATCACCCTCTTGTTTAATTCCATCATCTACTGACCCTAACATATGCGATCCGGAAGAGTCACTTTCACCCAAGGTCGGGCTAAATAGTGACCTCTGATCCAACGAGTGACCAGCTGAAGAACACCTTGGCAATTCAAGTAGATGTGATCTTTCTGATCTTCCATTGATGCTTCCACTTTTATGTGCATGTGTCCTGTTTTCATTGTAGCCAAACCAAAATATGAAAAATATTTAAGACCCTTTTTGCTTAGAGTTTTTTTGTATGCACTTTACATTATTAATCCATTAGAAATCATCGTAAATATGATATCAGAAATCACTATTGATATGAATTTTAAGATAATCACTGTAAATCATTTTTAGTATGTCTCTTAAGGTAACATGGTAAAAATTGAAGAACAGTGGAATCGTTTTACGTTTTGAGTACACAGCCTATTTTCTGACAAATTATTTACTCTATACTTGTATATTTCATCATGGCACATGCATGGAAATCTGAAAAGTAATCATAAGTTTCATTGTGTGGCACCTTACTCCATTTTCTTTAGGTGGTTCAACCATGTTTACCATTGGTCGTATTGCTGGTCGAGCTCCCACTATCTTCCCTTTTGAAATCACATACACTGAAGTGTAATCTGGTGCTGATTTCATTACGCCTGTTGACACATGGTGGCCTTTATATTTTCTGAGACAGCCACCACATTAAGAAACTTTAACACATTGTATACGTGCGGAGGAAACACAAAATTGTCATGCAAAGACCAAATTTTAAAAATACTAAAAGTCATTTACATAGAAGAACTAAAGGTAGAAAAGATGGTAAGTGATGTCTCAATTAACACTTAACTTGCTTCCACTCCGCAGGTTAAGAGTCCTTGCCAAAGAATGCTTGCTGGAGTGTTGTGCACCAACGACTATAGTATTGACGCGATTTCTCTGTGCATATTCCACTATTCCTCTCACAACCTCACTATCATCGATTACTGCTTCTTTTAACATAACCTGAGTTAACAATGTGCAATATCTTTATGACTTCAGAGTTAGTTTCAAGTGTAACCAACTACATTTGATTGAATACATAAAAAACAATGAAAAATGCTTTATAAAATGCAAGTTATTAGTTCTTCAAAAATGTCACGGTTGATCATGATTTATGATTAGATTAATGAATACAATTGTTTTATTATTGTAAAACACCTTTCAAATTGATGTGTAATTTAAGTTAGCAAAATATATTATTTAGAGACTAAATTCACATAACTTAGACAATTCCTATATAATCTCATTTAGAATAGGGACTATTTAATTAGAAGATCTGAGATAATAAATTGATGATTCATACATGAACGATTAATTAGTTTAAAGTTTGATAATTATGCATTCTTAGTATAAAAATTTATGTTGTCAACGAATCAAAATTAACTGTTGATATAATTTTTTCTTAGTAACAATAATCAACTTATACTATCCATTACAATATTTGTTAGAATATTGCAATGAAATTTGCTTCAAAATTGGATAAACAAATTAAACAATAAATTGATTTCAACTCAGACATCAATTACATACGTTGTCTGGACACATTTGACGTAAGGAGTTGAAAACGTGGGCTACATCGTCTTCGTCGGGAGGTAAAACATTGTTGCCCTCTGCATGCATAATTATAATATTATAAAAACTAAACAATGTAAGCAAAACAAAACCATCATATATATCACCACAAAAACTCAGGTAAAATTTAAATCTAAAACATGCCTAATAAACTTCTTTATAAACACTTATTATAGAAGAAAATAAAAAAGAAACCAAATAAGCGTTTTTCCTTTTTGTTCTGTTGAAAGTGTTTAAGAATCGTGTTCAAGTTGAACGTTGAGACGGTAAATTATGCAAAAGGGTACCTACGATTAGAAATGTTTTTGTGTTTGACATAGACAGCAATGATGACGGGGTTGTCAATGTTTTTGATGGTCCAGCGAAAGGCGTGGCCGCTGTTCTTGTCTTTGTCCACGGCGACCATGGTCACATTCAACGGTGTTGTATTGGAGCCAGCTTGGGGAGATATCAGCGCCATGTGGTTGTTGTTAGGGTTGTGGCCGTTGTCTGTCACCTCCAGCTCCGCGGCGAGAAGCTAGGAGGAGGAGGAGACAGAAGGTCTTGAGTTTGGTTGGGTCCTTTTGTTGGGGGGTCCTCTTGTTGCTGTGCGAAGATGGAAATGAAACGCCCCATGCAACCTTTTCCAACATCACTCCAACACACGTTACTTTCAACCTCATCCTTACATTTTTTAGGAAAACACAACAACCCATTGAAATTTCCTTCTTTCTTATTTTTCTGTAAATAAATTATTTCTTCCTGTTTTTAGTAGAAACCAATCCTATCATTCATTGGATCCATACACTGCATCCATGATCAAACACTTTGATTGAAATAATAAATAATATAATTATCCAAATTTAATATATTTTTCATAATAAAATAATAATAATAATATATTGAATAACTAATAGAATTCAACCTAATGTAATTTTATATTTCAAATTTTAAAATATTATTATAATAAATAATGTTCACAATCTTAATAACAATATAAGTCTATAAATTAAAAAGTTTATAGAACTTAATTTCATTTTATATTATTTTTAAAATTTTAAAATAATTTTATGATTAATTTTAACTTTTTTTAAATAAGTTTTGAAAAATAAAATCATTTAATAATTTTAGTTTTAAAAAATATTTAGACAACAAAATTTATATAAACGATAAAAAAGGTCGAAACCAAAATTAAAAAATAATTTCAACTAATTATTACTAAAACTGTTTAGTATTAATAAAAAAATCTTTTACTAATTTTGATCTTTTAATTTTAAAATTAAAAATAAAATAATTTTTAAAAGATTTTTAATAAAATAATAATTTAAACAACAATTTTATATTATTGTAAGAGATAATAAGTAAACAGTCCTTAATCATTTCAATAGATGCTAGGATGATTGATTCAATTAACGGACCTATCCAAACTTTACTTAACATTTTATTGTAAAAGATAATAAGTAAACAATTATTAATTATTTCTTCTATTTATGTCAGTGCTTAAAACATTTTGTTAATATTTTTCAACAACTAACTTTTATTTTTCGAAAAGTCAATAACTAAGCATTTATAGTTTTTCTATTATTATGGATTATTGCAAATAAATCTCATTAATAATATATTTAGAAAACATTATTTAAATAAAATTTGTGTAAATTTACTTAGATTTATTTATTTTTTATACATAAAATTTATAATGAAAAATAAATATATCTGAAATAATATAATTTCTTTTATTATTTTTTTCTTGTTTATGTTTGTTTTTTTTATTTTCTATTTATTTTTTTCTTCTCTCATTCTATATTATTTTTTTAATTAAAAATATTGTATTATAATTCGATAAAATGATTTTTTTTATTATTTCTTAAAATAAAATATTTAAATTAATATATTATATTTTAAAAAAATATTATATAATAAATTTGAAATATTAGAGATTCTATTATTATGTTATAATCATTATAAAAAATTAAGTAATTATTTTAAAATAAATTTTTTATAAATATTTTTTTAAATTACTCAATCTGATTAATCATCATTACTCAATCTAATTAGAATTATAATAAATTACTAAATAAAAAATACATTTATTTGATAGTTTTTTAATTAGATGAGTAATTGTTTTATTATGATAAAATATTTTAAAAATAATTATTTAGGTGTTATAGTAAACAAAATTATTTACTATCATAATAAAAAATATTATTCACTGTCATCATAATTTTAAATAATTAGTTGATTTTTTTTTAGTTTTAATATTGATTTTAAAAAATTTACTCTAAAATATTTTTATTGAATTTTAATATAGTAGTTTTAATTAAAAGAATAAATGAGAGAGGAGAAAGGAAAAATCATTGTTTTGTTAATTGGACCAGATTGACTGGTTTAATTGAGAACTGGTCCATTACTTTCAAATAATCGAACTTTAATTAAACAGAGACAAAACTAAACAAATTAGGATAAATCCCGTAAAATGAGTAAACCAGTTGGGTTTGTTGGTCCAAACAATTTTGGTAAAAAATTAAGATCAATATTTTGTAATATAATTTTTTATGAAAGATATAATATATTTTAATTTTTTTATCTCCTATTAGTTTCGTCAACTTTATTATTTATTATACTTTTATTTTATTTTAATAATTATTCATCATACTTTCCTTATAACTTACGTTAATCATGACTGTAACATTTTTTTTAAATATTGTAACTAATGAACTTATTAGATATTTGTTATATTATAAAAATATTATTTTATTAAATGCAGTTAGACCTTGATTTAACCTCGATTTAACCTTTAAAATCTAAACTTATGTCTTTATCAGTTCAGAGACCGAATCAGTTTTAAAAATATTAGAAAAAAAAACATGAGATAGAAAGAGATAAATAAGAATAAACAAGGAGAGATAAAAAAAATTACAAGGCGAATAAAAATTATATATGAAATATGTATATTTTAATAAATAAATGAGATTCTGCTTTTAAAGTGCTATTCATAGGATTGATTCGATTATTGCTTACTAAAAGGAGATTAAAAAAAAAATTTAATATTAAACATTTGCATATTTTGTTAAAATCAAAGAGATATAAGTTAAATCAGTAATGGGTTTTACACATATAGGTTATCTTTTTTGAATAATAACATCTTCAAAATAGAGTTTTTAGTAAGAATATATTAAGAATAAAAATAAATATTTTATTATAAGTATCATAAATGAGTTAATTAAAAATTAGTCATAGTTATTTATATAAATAATTTTTTTTTCACTTTTAAGCAAATTTCTTCAATATTAGATGAAACTCATAATAAAATATTCATTTTTATTCCTAAACAATTCGAAGATATCCTAAGTAAAATAAAAAGATTAGGCAAACACATAAATGATATGGGTGTAAACCCATTTACATCTAATACTCCCCCTCAAACTGATGCATATAAATCATATGCGTCAAACTTATTACAAATATAATTAATTATAGATCCTCATAATAATTTGGTAAATATATATGCTAGTTGGTCATTAGAATCAACAAATTGAGTCTTGATTTCTCCATATATATAATCTTTTCTTAAATAAAATGACAATCAATCTTAATATGTTAGACCCCTCCATGAATGATGGGATTTAAACTAATATGAAAAACTACTTGATTGTCACATACAAGTGTAATTTGATTGATGTCCTTAAATTGCGATTCTTGAAGTAATTGTTTAAGCTAAATAAGTTCACAAGTAACTAAGACCATACATATATTTTGTTTCTGCATTATATCTTACTACAATATTTTATTTTTTGTTCTTCCAAGAGATCAAATTGTCACCAACAAAGGCACCATATTTAAAAGTGGATCTTCTATCAAACAAACAACCTGCCCCATCAGCATCTAAATAACATACAACTCTAATATGATTATTATGTCCATATAATAAACATTTTCCATGAGAACCTTTAATATACACTACAACATAAAAGACATGTAACATGCTCTATAATAGCGGTTAAAAATGCTATTAAATGAGGTACTAATAAAATAATAACGTTTAGATAGAGGTTAACTAACCGCTATCATAAATAAGATATAATAGCAGTTAACGTGGAACCGCTATGCAAAGTTGTATTTATAATAGTGGTTAGAATGATGAACCGCTCTTAAAAATGACACATATAATAACGGTTAAAACGACAACCGCTATCTAAATATACTTTTAATAGTGGTTAATTATAGAACTGCTCTCTTTTAGTATGTTTAGATAGCGGTTCTAAGAACCGCTATCTAAAATCTCAATTAAAAAAAAATAATTTTATTTAAATATTAAAATCCAAATTTTTTTCCTAATAATTTGTACTCGATAGACCACAATTTCAGGGTATATATCAAATTACTCCAATAAAATCCAACCAAGCATACAATGTATATTCACAGAATCATAGAAAAATAATTCAAAATTTGACAAATTAAAACTAAAATTTGCATGAAACAAAATTGGTATATATACATCAAATAATTGAAATGATTAAAAAAATCCCTAAGAGTCTATGGTGCTGATTTTGTCCTTCAAAAATGTATGGTAAAAATATGCACACTATTCCTTTTGTAGCTGCTCAATTTTAAGGTCCAGAAAGGTAGCAAAGTGAGATTCTGGAAAATACTGCAAACATAGATAGAAAAGAATCACAAAAGTTAAATACCAAATTAGATAAATAATTACAATACATTATTCTTTCATATAAACATAGCCATAATGCAAAAATGATTCTTACATTAACTGGAATAGTAGTTTATCCATGCTGCAGTGCATCTCCAATGAACAAGGCTACGTAATATCCACAGTCATCTGAGTTCATTTGCTTATGACACTTTGTCTCACAGGGTATGACCCTATCCCATTTGAGAATAAAGTTTTCCATGTCATAATTATCATTTGTTAATTAAACATTATACTATATACTTAATAAAATTTCGGCAGCATTTCGCATCAGTCTCTTAGTCCACAACTTGAATTTGGTAAAATTAACCTCATTCAACCATGCAACAAAAGATAATGACACAAATAGCAAATCAAAATTTTACCAACTATAACAAATAATAGTTTAATCAACTACTTAGATAATTATTGGCCAAGGAAAACTTTTTTCCCAAACTGTCCAAATTGGGACAATTTGAGTTTCAAAATAATGATCCTAAATCATTATTTAGATACTCAAATGGGAAACTAAAGGTTCACTCAAGTTCATATATAATAATACCATTTAACAAGCATCTAAAATTACTAAAACTATCAGCAAAACCATCATACATAATCTCTAATACAAAATATTTCAAGGTTACACTAAACCATGTATATATCTTAACCAACCTACATTCTATTTCAAAACACAATTACAGATCACAATGTAGGCAAAAATAAACAATTCAGACCAAACTAAGATATTAATCAATCAAAATACTAATTTTAAATTGTAATTTCTAATTCACACTCAC